AGCATGATTTATGCTTCACGCATGCTCAATGACAAGCTTCGTTGGCGATATTGGCTGGCGTCCGTTATACACAATTGGCGATATATCATGAGATTGGCAATTTAAGACATGTTGTTACCCCACTAAATTTTTGTCACGTTGCAACAATTAACCTGTTCAGGACCAGCGTCGCGTGTACGCGACACAACGATTCCACTCCTACCAGCCCAGCGTCCAGTATACGCGACGCAACGATTCTGCTCCTACGAGCCCAGCGTCGCGTAAACGCGACATCAAACGGACGATTATTTGAATTTTAAAACCAGTAAATGGAGCTAAGCGGTAATTGTTTTCATATGGATTGATTCACGCGGCATTTGACCTTCATATCCTGGCATTAGTTTCTGTTTTGTGCTTCTGGCTGTGAGAGATTTATTGAAATAAACAAACTGGAAATCACGGCTGTGAATTAAAGGGCGTTTTTGTTTATTTCGTTAGGATTATTTTTCTTGTTTTCCTATTTATTTTGAAACTTAACATAAGATTCCTTGCTTAATTGAAAAATAACATTACAACATTATTACAGAAGGAGAAAGACTATCAGCTTTCTTGACGCGTAATGCGTCTGCTCGCTTCTCAGGAAAGAGTCAGTTTTGATTGTCTTACTCGATTTATATAATACCTTGAATGCTCATTATATATAATGACACAGGGCGTTATATTTTGGTATTTACTTTACATATAATGTAATTATATATAATGTATATATTGACGTGATCAGTAAGGATGTCTCGCCAGTGGGGGTCTTCCTTGATCACTTTCCTGTAATGGTGGACGCTGTTTTCGATTTAGAGAACAGAAAGTTCTAATATAAACCTGATGTCACCAGGGTTTGAGGATGAAATATTTCTGAGTGTCTTTTGAAATGTGACATGTGATGGGGTTAATTCAGTGTTTCCGTTAGCCATGGCTAAGAGACCTTACCTAAAAACTTAAAAATTTGTCCAAATCACCGATATTCCACCTTTCCGTCTAACTGGAAGACAGTTTTCTGAAAATTTACTTGACGGAGAGGTAATAAAAGTAGAGAAGCTGTTGTGTCGCTAAAACCAAGAAAAGCGAAAGCAAACAATTTTTGAATGCGAATATGCATGTAGGACGGGGTCGATTCTTTTGGATTATTTTACACACAGCAATTTTAAACAGGAATTTAATTCTCTACAAGTAATTCTATTTAGTTTTTTTAATTTATCTTTGTAATTTTTTTCATTTATAGTATTTATTTCTCTGTGTATAGTTATGATTTAGTTTTGCCGGTTTGATTTTTCTATTAATGTGATATTCTTTATTAATACACATTAAAAACAAGTTCATTAATATGCAACTTCAAAATGAAATCATAATAAAAAATGCTGATTTTATATTTTTTTTTGGGGGGGGGGTGGTGTAAAATTAGGTTTAACTGCTGAAAATGCGCGGGACGGTGGCGACGATCCATTTCAGAGGGGCCGATCCCGTGACTGCGCTTCGTTCTCCCGGTGCTGGCTCTTACGGGGTTAAGCCTGAATAAAAAGCTTGAAGTGTTGATGTTAACCGGTTACTGATTTATTTTATTTCGCGTGATTAGTATGAAAGGTAATTTTGTATATTTGGAATACTCGAAGACCTATTTTGGATAACCTTTTGGATTACAACGTAAGATAATGTATCAAATACGAAAGAAAGACCAAGTATGTTATTTGCTGAATGCCTGTTAAAACCCAAACCTTTATGATTATTTTGAATATGAATTAAAAAACAATTTGTAAGGATACGAAAGGAAAGGACCAACGTATGTAATTTTGCTGAATGTCCGTTAAAAAATGAACTTTTATGATAACTGTAAATATGAAAAAAGAAAACAAATTTGTAAAATGAGGTTAAATTAATTGATTATGTTAAGCTCTCAAGAATCATTTGCCTAAGATGAGATATGCCTTTGTGGAAAGCATGAATTTGAGAAGAAATTTTATGATAACAGTAAATATAAGATGAAATATCAAATAAAAATACATTTGGAAATAAATGTAAAATACGGTTAAGTTAATTGATTATTGCACGTTACAAAAACCTACGGCATTAATTTAAGCAATTCATAGACATCACGAGTGAACAAAGAATAACGTCTATTTCCCCACACGCTTTTTCAAGTCTCCAGAAAATAAATTCTCGCATTATTTGGGCACAAAACTCACCGCATACGCTTTTTTAAGTACCCGGCAAATAATTGCTCGCATAATTGGGCACAAAGTGAGCAAATTTCACACATTCCGCGGCACTTCACTTACGCATCGCTGAAGTCTGAACTTTGAATTCATCGCCAAGCCAAACATACATTCTTTGTTCTTTGGCCAAGCGACGGCTATTGCGCATGCGCGAAGCGTAAACCATGCTAGGACTAGACGCTACTATTTATTGTGAATAGACTTTGTTATTGCAGGAACTCCTGCAAAATTTAGTCCTTTGCGTCTCCACACACCTTACTAATTTCGTTTGTGTATTACTTCTTTACCCTAACATACATCAAATTTCGTATTTTATTGTTTAAATTTATTTCTCGTAGAAATAGGGAGTATTTTGCCGAAATTTTCAGAATTGTATAACTTAAATGTATATCAGGTATCAAAATAAAGATCTTGTTGCAAGTTTCATGTTCTTAACTGCAAAATCTTTCGCGTTACATGAGGTTTTATAATTGTACCTTTGTAACTCCACGGCTCAACGAGCGCCACCCAGCGGCCGCCGGGACAAAACACCGGCCAACAAAGACTATAGCAGTCGATGTTCGGGAGTCATGAACTAAGCATGGTGTTTCCTCGAGATTTACTTTGTTACTTAAATGTGTAACTATAACGCCCTTAATTGCAATGTTTTATGTTAATTGTATTTTGTTAATTAAAATTAATTAAAAAGGCCAATTGAGTCTTTTGTTTATGGTAGTTTTGGTTATACTTTTAGTTTTTCCAGGCGAATTTGTTTTTCCTCCAACTGATAAGCAGGCTCTTTGAAATTTTAAAACAGTATAATTCTTGTAAAGCTTGTTTCGTGATTAATTCTGTTTCTTTTTATAAATGCTAATACTTTCGGTGCAGGAATATTCTGTCATATGATAAAATTTTCTGCCTTTAAATAAAGATTTCAAAGTGATATGAAGAAAAATGTCATATAGTTACAAAAATGGACATCACTAAAAATTCTTCTATTAAAAAAATAAACATCTTATTTTACATCGCAGCAGAATTTCAAAAAAAAAAAAATTATTTGTCTAATTCTCTTTTCTAATAACGGACAGTATTAAGTAAATTTATTGCAACCTAAGAGCCAGCTGAGGGTCAGCTAGAATTTCTTTTTATTCTTTAAAAAATAGACATTTGAAACAAAATAAATATATTTAATATTGCATATCGAAGAATAACTAGCAGGTTAAATTACATCAGAATCCTCAATAGTCTGTCACTTGATGTAATCTAGTTTTTCAGAATTAACTGAAAGAATTATACAATTAGTTCTATAACAAATCAACCTCATTTTGGACGTCCTGTGCAGAATCGAAGATAGCACCAGCAAGAGGTAGTTGCTGGTGTGAAAAAAAAGGAAGAAATCCGAAGGGACGGATGTCGGGGCTATGTGTTGGGTAAAAAGATCCCATTCGAGTCTGTACTTAGTCCAGCCGGTGAATGCAGATACACTTAGTCTTGCTTTATCTCGATGGAACATTATCTTTTTGCGCCGGAACTCAGATGTGTACATGGACAAATTTAAGGGATTGTGCAATGCCTAGTTTGTGCATTTCTGGGATCTTTTTTAAGTGTGAACAGATTGATGTGTACATGGACACAGAATTTGTGCAGTTTTTTTACTTCTTATTTTGGTTTTGTGTAGCGGCCATCTTGAAATTGTACCTTCCTGGCGCCGATCTTGGCGTCGAAAAAGAATCGCCAAAAACCAAGGGACACCCAGTTGTAAACTTTCATCGATAAGTTAATTAGAAGTCAAGTTATTATTTTTTAAATGATTTTCCACGTGTAAATCCGTGAACTTTGACCTTTTCGCCAACCCAACGGTCTGCATATCTTACTGTCGAGGTTTATACCTTTTCCCAGACACTCTTTGTGGATAATACCACGTGGCCGTGCTTTCTATCTCCCACCACATAGAAAACATGATCATTTTGTTAGTCAAATTGCGCTTGGCAACGCTGCCGGACGCAGACCAAACCCCATTTCGGCCTGTGTTGTTGAAGTAAATCCACTTTTCATCCCTAGTGAAATCCAGTCTAGAATTTTGCCCTTGCTTTGATAGAACAGATTACTGCAGGCCAGAACACATTTGTTCTTATCTGCTTGAGTCACCTCATGCGGAACCCAGCGATTGAATTTGTACGCCTCTTTTATGCGATGCATAACACGACTAATGGAGATGGCACTAACGTATAACTCCTTAGCAAACTCTCCATTGCATACTGATCTCCTTCCACAAGTTCTCGCAGGCGGGCCTTGTCAACATCACTAGGCCGACCAGAACGCTGTGCTTCTTGAATGTCATAGTCCTTATTTTTTTACTTTTGGTACCAGACCTTCAACAACATTAGTACGACAGAACTAGAATTCACCTCAACCCTTCAATAACAACTCCTTTCAATGATAGAACTGGAAGTAAATGATAGTTCTAATCAGGTAGCGTAGTAGTTCCATATCAGACATCTTGTTCTCAATGATAACGATACTGTTTTACAAATTTCCCAACATAGTGTTTCAAAGCAAGTCTCTTTCTTTCAAATGCCAAAAATCGTTTGACAAAATGTGATTAAACATGCCAACGCGAGCTGTTTGCGCAGACGATATTTGTGGTGGCGGGAAACTTTCGTTAAAAACCCGGAATTAAAATATTTGTAGGCTTATGTTAAAGATTCCATTTTCAGCATTTTTTCTTTCTTTTCTCTTTGTTTTATTGATGCAGATTTATAGTAAGTAAAATTTTAGGTCTCTTATACGTGACTAACAAGGCATCAGGTCGCTGCTACATTCGAGCGATCAGTGGAGACTTCTTCCAAACTACACAAAATGTCATCTACACTATAATGGGCACACCGGAAGAAATCTTTTTGATGCAGGCTGATGAAATGGAGTACAAGGGAACAGTAAGTGTTTTACCACTTTCAACAATAACGGATAGTCTCTAAAATTAAAAACCATAATCTACTAAAAGAATTACTTTGTTTTTATCTCAAAAGTTTTAGAAGAATTTCTTAATACCCAAAAATCTATAGAAAAGGGGATTAGAAGAGTAAATATCGCGGAGGAAAACGTCGTGAAAAAAGTAACGCAAGGCGAAAACGTCGTTGTACAAAATATCGTGGGAGTAAAGAAAGCAAGGAGAAAATACCGCAGCTGTAAAACATCATAATACAAAACATCATCGTCGATAATTACAAATACGTTCTGACATGCTAGGTGCTGGCATTACGCGGCCAATCAACCCTCAGAACAAGGACCGAGGTTCAACCCCTGTCCGCTCACTTTGGAGAGGACCGACACCAGCGGCCATTCATCGACGCTGGTCGTCTATTTACTAGCTACTAGTCTCTCGGGCTGCCCGTCGCGAAGGGACATTACCCAGAAAACCAGGGACTCGGACCCCAAGCTACTAGAGCCTTCTGCTCTAGGACGTGCCAGACCCACAGGCCGGCCAATAAGTGACCTTTCCGGGGCCTCCAGAACCATTAGGTTCGTAATTAATATACACCCGTGTACTCCGATACTGCCTAGGTACAGATCCTAGCGAGTAGCTTCGCAGAGTTCTCTACAGTTTGTCTATCATAAGAAAAGCTCTCGCCAGTTAGCATGCAGCTGTCTGTTGCCATAGAAACGAGCTTTGTCCCATTTTCGATGGGGGTGTCTTGAAGACGAATGATAACTCTTTTCCACTTAGCCAATAGTCGCCAAAAACAAAATAACAATAAAGCAACTCTAGGTTTCCACCTATTTGAAATATATCCTTGTTGTTATAGCGACCGCCACTGGCCAGACACTAAGGCGGGATCTGTTCTTCTCGTAGACAGACAGTACGTCGACTCCAGGGAGGGAATTTCGTGGTAAAAATAAAGCACCTGCAAAATCGTCGTATGGCGATAATATCGCAGACATGTGTGTTTCAGGTTTTAAAATTTGTAAATACATATTTGGATAATGTTTTATAAGTGCAACAAAGGAATGAGGAATTAGCATTTATATTTTTGAACTTATTAATAAACTTTTTGTTGAAAAATTTAGAAGGAAACTTAATCATTCAGAAACTGAAACTGAGCAAAAAATTAATGCTGCTTACAACAGTTAATATAATTTTATAATATGATAGTAAGCACATGCAGTTACTCATCTTCTTTATTCTAATATTTTTAGACTATGTTTTTCGTGAAAAATTACCAATGAAACTTTATAAAAATCTATAATTAGCAAATGGCCTTTGTTAGTTAACCATAAAAGTTTAAAATTACACTAACTAATAATTATAATTATTTTTCCACTCAGTTTCAGTCTTTAAATGTTTTAATTTCCTTCTTATTTTTTCAGCAAAAACGTATAATTCAAAAATATCAACGTAAAATTAAATAATCTTCATTCCTTCTTGTGCTCACAAATCATTATGCGAATTTAAAATTTTAAAACGCAAGTATGCTACGTTATCCTCATGCGATGATTTGTACGCACTTTATTTTTAACCACGATATTTTCGAAGCCGATGTTTTTAAATTGCGAAGTTTTTGAACCGCATTAATTTTGATGCCATGTTTTGTACGAAGATGCTTCAGAACTGCTATGTTTTCTCCTTGCTTTCTTTTCTCTCATGATGTTTTGCACGACGGCAGTTTCGCCTTGCCTTGTTGTCTTCCGCGATGTATTTTCCTCGATGATTTCGGCGGACGCCAAAAGGAGAAACCTTTCCTTAAAATTAAGAAAAAGGCTAAACCACCGATATTGACTGGTAATGACTATAGTAAAAAGCGAGCAATGCATTTTAAGAAAACCTGAATCTAACTATTTATACCCTGACTATATAATGTAACTGCACTGGTTATCATTAATTAAGGAAGCATTAATTAAAAAAAAATTTTTTTCAGACTTTCGTTCGAGACATCGAATGTGATGTTTTTGCCGGCAGATATTTTGATGCAAACTTTAATGCGACATATGATAAAGAAACTTTCTTTTCAACTGTAAGTATTCAAATTCAAATTGTTACAATACGAATTTCTTTTTTTTTTTCTATTTTAACCCTCTAAGCGGCAAGGCCGTATATATACGGCCTAGAATATATTTTGTGATATCTGTAAGAACGTATATATACGTGCATATTAAAATGCTATGTTAAAGAAATTAAGGCAATATATCAAAAGTACACAAATCCAGGTATGAAACACAAAGAGAGTGTTTACACTAAAATCAGAAAAATAATTTGTTCTAATAGTAGTTTTGGGAAATTTGTGCTCTCGTAGCGAAAACATTGGCCCCTGAGCATCATATGCTTGTTAATTGCCAATTTTTTTACTGGATGATAAAGTGTTTAAATCAAAGACATTGATATTTAAAAAAAATTAGGGATGAGCATATAAGTAGCAGAATCGAATATTATTTCGATAAAAATTTTGTCGATCGATCAAATTTTAATCAAACAATCGTAAATCATAATAATTGTAAATTTTAATGGGTGAAAAATACATATTTCCTTCCTTCTATAAAACGAAGAAAATTTTTATTTTTCTCTTAATGAATGCAGATGAGTATTTTTTAAATTTTAGGTGAATTTTATGGTTTGCAAAAATATTCGTGAAGAGAATTGTTTCACTGTTCACGACATTAAAATTGTCCCGTCTTCATGCATTCGCTTTTCTTTCCATTAACTTGTTTTAAGAAGCAAATCTTAACTTGCACTAAGGTGATGCTAGCAATGCATAATGTTCGTCGGTACTTTGTCTTTGCTCAACGTAGAGGAACCTAGTGAACTGGGTAGTGACTTATCGCTGAGTTCGAGTACTTAACTACAGAGTTCAGAGACGGGTTAAAATATCCTTTCATTCCCTAATAATAATCACAGATGGCTCCTTCACGGGCTTACAGCGAAGCCTCCACTGCGGGTTTTAAATCAAGATAAGAAAATAAGAAACTAATATAATACTAAACTAAACAGACTTAGCCGAAGCTAGGCGCAAATACCAAACATAGTTGGTCCTAATTTAACCTAGCCGGCGATTATCAACAAGCGCGTACCATACGGCCGAGTGTAGTAGTAGATTTAACCGCTTAATGACCGAATTTATAATAAAAAGTATGCCGAAAATCTCTGATTTTTTTATGCAATTTGTATTATCTACAGATATACCTCACTAGATGTAGCTCAGTAAGCTTAAAAAATTTTTTTTCGAGAAAATACTATATATTTATTATGGTACATAACGAGTTAACTCGGACTTCAATGAAGCAGCCAAAAAAAAAAAAAAAAAAAAAAAAAGAAAAAACACAATCTAGCCGAAAGTAATACAGAACTGTATTCTAGATATTAGCATAGGTAATAAGAGCTAAAGTAAAAATCAATTTATTTTACGATCTATAAATCGTAATTTTACATTTCATGATATTTTACGACATTTTGCGATCTACAAATGTCATTGACAGTATGGTACAGTCTGAAACATTTAACGCACAGAGGCAGATCACAGTCTGTACATTAATACCGCCATTATCGCTCGAGGGTAATCACTTCGAGCGAGTAATCACAAAAGCGGCTTGGACCCCTCCCACACTTAGGAAAACATGTGCTTGTCAGAGAGTCGATGAACCAGTCACAAAAGCTGTTTGGACCCCTCCCACAGCTAAGAAAACATGTGCATGTCACAGTGTCGATAACCAGTCACAAAAGCCACTTAGACCCCATCCACAGTTAAGAAAACATGTGCATCTCAGAGTGTCGATTAACCAGTCACTTTGTCTTAGACGCTTAGACCCTACCCACAGTTAAGAAAACATGTGCATGACAGAGTCGATGAACCAGTCACAAAAGCCGCTTTGACCCCTCCCCACAGTTAAGAAAACATGTGCATGTCAGAGTGTGGATGAACCAGTCACAAAAACCGCTTGGACCCCTCCCACAGCTAAGGAAACATGTGCATGTCAGAGTGTCGATGAACCAGTCACAAAAGCCGCTTGGACCCCTCCCACAGCTAAGAAAACATGTGCATGTCAGAGTGTCGATTAACCAAAAGCCGCTTAGACCCCACCCGTTTACTCAGTTTTAGAGTAGTAGTGTCAGTAGAGTTGCCCCTGTGTTTTTACTTTTCCGGCAAAATCTCGCTTCTTTAGACCTTCATGTTGCATTAACATGAAAAATACGCTTACTTAAAGCACTGATACATACACTGATGATACTATTTTCCTGTTGGATAAGATTATTAAACGTTATAATAAAGTATCTCTGTTTTACTTTCTCTAAAGAATGGCTGGCATGAAGAAGCAGATGAAATGTTAGAATATGGTGTTCCTGTACAGCATACGATCTTGCGAAAACAATTGGTGAGTTTGAGAAATGCATTATTTTTCTTCTTTGAACGAGTTAAGTTTTTTGTTTAACAAAACTTAAGTTTTGTTTGCTTTTTTTAATTAATGCTGTTTTTTAATTAAACTAATGTTTTTGTTTTTTGCTTTAGGCTGGGGAACTGGTAGAAGGTGTGCGATCAACTAACTTCCTGAAATTCAAAGCCAAGGCACCGTATCTAAGATCCTTCGACGTAAGCAACTGTATCGAAACTCAAGATCATAAAGATTTTGCTATTTTACTTGCAGGTAAGTTAACTAACTATACAGAGTCCATTTTCCCCTATCGAACAATATTTATTGAAATAAATACAGTATTAAATTTTTCATTTCATTCCAAGTGAATGATATAGACATATGAAACACCAAAGACATCTAAATCTCTTGAAAATTTTTTATTTTTTACTAACTAAAGAACAAAACAATAGCACATTTCAAGATCAGAATTAATGAAAATCACATGGAAAATGTGGGAGAAATTTCAGCTTTTTTTAAATTACCTTATCACATTTAATGCTCCTTTTCATAACTTCAAAATACCTGCAATAGAATTCTTCCCATATCCATTTAAATGCATTTGACTTTTAATGGGCGAACTCTTGCCAATTGGGCAGTCTTCATCAAACGGCTAAATGCCCGCCAGTCCAAACCCACCCAAACTATGGCTATATCGCTGTCAAATCACAGAGCATTTTGTTTGATATTGTTACGTTATTTTCTTCACGTACGTTAAGGGTTCGTGGATTTGGAGTGAATAACGAGAACAGCACTTGCTGAAGTATCAAAGCACACTTTATTGGCCAGTATTATTCAAGGCAGCTCTAAGAAACACTTTTACAGTCGTCGAAGAACTGCTATAAACACACCGAAACAATCAGCGACACAGCCTTCAGGCTGTAACGGTGAAGAACAGCTTCACTGCAGAGCACTAGACTACAGCTCCCGACTCTGCTTGCTCGTTCTCCGAACTCCACGTACTCTCGATACTCTCCACGCTACAACTCGCGATGCACTCGACGATACACTAGAGTACAGCTCTCGACTCTTCGACTCAGTCGTTTTCGGAGCTCAACACATTCTAAGATGAAACCTCGTGCACTCGACGACCAACTCGGCACTCACTGACTGACTATCAACTCGATGGACTCTCACTGACTCCGCGCGAACTAACTAACTGACTCTCCGCGTTCCAGCAGGGTTTATATAGCTTTTGGCTTGTGTTAGAGAATATTCTGGGCTAAACCAGTAAGAATTCGTTCCAGAAGGTTCTCTATCGATCTGTGGCATATCACGAAATGTTGCCAAATGAGCGGTTTCTCGCCAAATGCGGCAACCTTGCATTCCTTTGCCATTTTCTGGCAACTCTAAACCTGCTTTGCGGGGAAGCTATCTTACCGCGGCTGGACATTTCGTAACACTATATATCACAAAGAATTGACTGATGTTGCACTCCAAAAGACAGAAGAGATGTCCAAGCCTCACACGGCTTGTTGAATTAATTAGTTGCGAAAAAATGACGTAAAGCTGTCTGTTCTTAGAATGGATCCTCTCGGATGTCGACTGGTTCGGCAATTCTCGGCGTTTTAGCTAGGACCTGTACCTAAACATGACATGACTTCTGGAGTAAGTACTCAATCATCACAGTTGCTAGAACTATCGTTTATTCTATGATAGATTCAAGCTCGGCAGGGACTGTACTGGTACTGTCTTGTCTGCCCTTTGTTGTGGGGACGGTACATGGTTCGGTGCTTGAAGTACCTGAAGTGGGCGCTTCCCAGCTCGCCCAGCCAAACGAGTCGGTTATCCCCCTCCAAGGGCGACCTTCGATACTTAACCATGTACTCGTTTGTGGTTGGATTGATGAGCAAAAGTACTGTACCCAATCCAACCACAAACGAGTATATGGTTAGATATCGAAGGTTGCCCTTGGGGGGTGTGTTTCCCTTGGTCAACACGGGCAGACAGTCTACGACGTACCTATGTTATCTTTGTTGGTGACTGCTTGCCGATCACCATTGACTTGTGTTCTTATTCCCAGACTGTGTGGATCAAAATTATCCTCCTGAGTTGACCGGGGAGGTATGCCTGCTCGGATCGCCCCTAAGAGATAGGCCGTTATAAGCGTGTAAGACATATTAAGCAAGGTCTGGGAGCTCCTTCTCCTTGGTGTACTGTACTAACATAGAAAGGATAGTACATTCACCAGGAAGAAGGTGCAAAGATAAGATACGGGGGGCAAAGACAGATTAATGAAGAAGGAGCAAAGATAGATTACCTTCGCAAAGGGTACTCTTGGGAAGCACTATTCAAACGAAACCGTTGTTTTTCCTTTAGAAATATGCTTTCGAGACAGGAAAACCTGCAAGTTAAATTTCATTAATCGGCTCATTAGAACGGGAAATATAGAACTGTCCTCCCCCCCCAAAGCGGCCATTTGCCCAGAAAAGTATTAATATCGTTTTGGCATTTTGCGATGGTTCACTATAAACGGATTTTCACTTTTCAAATTGTTGCCACCGAATATTAGAGCACTGAATTATACTTAAGGAAATTAAATAATGAAGAATCTGGACGAATGTGCGCATGTTTCTCGCACTTTGAAAAAACAACGGTACCTAGAGGCATCAAATTTTGAATAACGTAGTCCTCGACTCAAATATAGTAATCTGGATGCCCACAATTTTAATTTGGAATTTGTTTTATTATCCGTTTCATATTTTATAAAACTTTAACTAATATTTGATTAAGAAACTCAACGATTTCAAAGCAAGCAATGGCAAAAGTGTATGGAGAAAAAATTATCTCCAGCGCGCGAGACTGTGTATCGGAAATTCTAAAGATACGCTCGTTTTAAAATTATTTTGCGATATTGCTGTTGAATTGAATTTTATGGTTTAAGTGCAAAATACATGATATTTAATAAATAAAGGTAACACACAAAACGTAGATAAAATCCCCCTTGGGCGTAATATTAAATCTGTAAGCTTTCAGACATTTTTGTTGTTGTTGTTTGTGCTGAGTGTACATGCGAAGGGAAATGCATTGCGCGTCTTCCTAATATCTCATTTATAATCTTATTTTTATATATACTACACATGCAGTATTTACGTATTATTACCATTCACGTATTCTCAGAGAACGTTACGAAATAGTCAGTTTTCAGCAATTCTTCTCGCTACGTACGAGTTCAAGGTGAAAATTTTACGCAATTTTACCACATGGCTTTCTGCTTTGAATTACGAGAAAGTGAAATGCATTGTTCATCTGAGCAGCGAAAATAAATACATTTACCATTTTACTTTGTTGAATATAATACGGTTGATTCTTTTCCAAACCAATAAGTATAGTTGTCTTTTAATATGGCAGACTGAAAAGTGGTTTTAACGATAACAGTAACAATAAACTCATTTTGAATATATCATAAGATTATGCATCGCATTACTTACAAACGCAACTGTGCCTGGTAAAGAATATACCCGCAAACTTTATTCTAAACTTCAATAGTTGGAATGTTTTTAGGTTGCGTGCGAATATAATTCGGTACTCTGTCTCACAAAAGAACCTGAAAGCTTATGATTTCCTAAATAATATTAATAATTTTGAATGCATTAAACTGATTCTATAAAACTTGATTTTCTTTGAAATATGAGTTTAATATCCTTGTGCCATTAAATACATTTCCAAAAAAAAATCATTGAGCTTAAAAATTAATTCGTCTTTTAAATGGAAAAATTATGTCACACCAACACTTATGATTCTATCAAATATTTTTAGTCCAAAGGGGCTTTGTCCCTGAATTACTATTGTTTTCGTTTGGCGATTTTGCGTTTAATCACCATAAATGTCCATTTCACTTTTCAAACTGTTGCCACAGAATATTAGAGTCCTGCATTATATTTGAAGAAATTAAATAATGAAAAATCTGCATCAATAGATGTATATTTCTCGCATTGTTATAAAACAACGGTACAGAGAGCCATCGAATTTTGAATGACGTAATCCTCCTGCGAATATGGGCATGTGGAAGACCAAATTAGAAATTTGGAGTTTGTTTTATTATCCATTTCCTATTTTTTTAAAACTTTAATGAATTTTTGATTAACAAACTCAAGAATTTCAAAGCGAGCAACGGCAACGTTGTACAGAAAAAACATTTTTATCTTCAGCGGGCGAGACTGTGTATCGAAAATTCTAAAGGACATGCTCAATTTAAAACTATTTTGCGATATTGCTCCTGAACTAAATTTTATAGTTTAAATGCGAAGAACATGATATTTAATAAATAAAAGTAACAGACAAAATGTTAAAAAAAAAACGCTCATTAGGAAGTAATTTAAAATCTGAAACTTTCAAATTTTTTCTTAATTTTTATTTTTTTAAATTTCTTTAAACTATTCGATTATTTTATTGAATTAACTCTCTCAAATATCTAGCTAAATTTTTTCATGGATTCAACTAGTTATTTATTATTTATAACCTTATTTTTCTCCGCTTATCTTGTGTTATTAATTTGAGAAAACAAAGATACCTACAGCTCACAAATTTTGAATAACTTAGAACCTCAATCCGAACATGAAAACCTGGAAGACCTAATTTTGAATTTCAAATTTGTTTTATTATCTACTTCATATTTCGTAAAAATTGAACTACTTTTTGATTAAAAAACTCAACGATTTCAAAGCAAGCAATAGCAACAGTGTACGGAAAAAAGCTTTTCTATCTCCAACGGGAAAGACTGTCAGCCGGAAATTCTAAACATATGCTGTTTTTAAATATCTGGTGATTTTGCTGTTGAATTGAATTTTGAGTGACGTAAGTTCGAAGATCGGGATATTTAGTAAATAAAATTAATACACAAAACATTAATAATGAAAAGATAAAAAGAAAATTATGCTTATTAATGGAGCTTCAAAAAACAGAACAAGTAGGTCAGCAGCATTAAGTGCAACAACAGACTATGTACACTACGAGCTCAGCGAGAGGCGTAAAAAAAACCCTTTTGGGCGAGCGTTAAAATCTGAAACCTTTCCGATTTTTTTTTATCATTATGATTCTGAATGCTATTGTGCTTCGAGTAACATTTTGATTCGGTCAAAAAACTGTTTATTTCTTCGTAATCATTACAGCAAATTTTCTAGTGGATTTTTAGTTAAAAATTAAGAGATAATTTTTGAATTTCTAATCAATTATGCTTTTCAGAAGCAGCCATAACAGCAAAACGTCGAAATAACACAGATCTGGAAAAATGT